CGATTAGATCATCTTAGAAACAGATTTGTCACTGCAACCTCCACAAGTATAGAGATGTTTGGTGGAAGGGTAACTGCACAAACTGTTCGAAATCGCTTGCAGGCTGCTGGTCTTCGAGCTGGGAGGCCCTATGATGAACCAATATTGACACCTCTTCATCGCGGTAACCGACTTGTGTGGGCCACAAGACACATAGGATTTACTCAAAGACAGTGGAATTCGGTTGTCTTTAGTGACGAATCTCGATTCACTTTGAGATTTACCGATGGCAGGGTCCGAGTGTACCGCAGGCGAGGTGAACGTTACGCTCAAGTATGCGTCAGAGAAGTTGACCGATTTCGTGGCGGCAGCGTCATGGTTTGGGGTTCTTTTTGTGCACGTGGACGTTCTCCTCTTGTTGTTGTCCAAGGGAACTTAAATGCTGTCCAGTACAGGGATCAGATTTTGCAACCTGTTCTTCTTCCGTTTATGCAGAGACATGGGCCTGGACTAACGTTTTAACAAGACAATGCTCGACCCCATACAGCAATTGCTACCCAGAAATTTTTAATAAATGCCGGTGTCCAAGTCCTGGATTGGCCGTCGCTTAGCCCCGACCTTAATCCTTTTGAACACATCTGGGACGAACTGGGTCGACGTGTTCGTCAGCAAGTGAATCCACCACTGACGTTGCAGGACCTTCAACATGCTCTTGCTGAGCAGTGGCGACGTCTTCCTCGGGTAGTGTTTACTAATGTTCTGAGATCCATGAGAAGACATTGTGTGGCAGTACGAGACGCTAGAGAAGGCCACAACCGTTACTAAACACTTTATTCCGATTGTTCTCCAAGTCTGCGAATTTCATTTTGGGGGGACTGTGACATCATGAACGTTATCAAGGACTTTCGGCGAGACGTATTCTTGCTTTCTGTTGATGTCAAGGTCATCTGTGCACAACATAACACTAAAATAGTTGCCTTAAACCAAATACTAAAAATCTAGTCCCAAAAATCCCGAGTGTCAAGTTTTTAATTTGGCTGAGTATATTAAAACAGAACGGTGCGATTCCGGGAAGGTTGATTTTCTGGTCGAAAACCACCCCCACGTCACTAAAAGCGTTTTCTATTTTATCGAATTATTATTGTTCTCGAGATCGCTGATATGTGATAGATATGAGTATTGTTCACCCCCTATTAAAATTTCAAGATCCATGGAACACCGCAATGATGCCTTTGCAGTCAAAAAAGCCATTTATGACGATTTTTGCAATTTCGATTTTTATACGACCACAGATCTTTGGGTTATAAACTTACATCAGCCGTCCTTAGGGTGTAACAGTGATATAATAATACGATTTTTTAAATCGGATAAAAATTATGACCTCTATAGGGTCCACAAGCTAAAAACGCGATTTTCCGTACAATCAGGGGCCATAATTCAGGAAGTTACGGTCCTATATGCGCGAATATTGAAAGGAACTGAGATCTTTGGGTTATAAACTTACATTTTAAGTTTAAACAAAATCGGATAAAAATTGTGACCTCTATAGGGTCCACAACCTTGATATACCATATTTTTACGCTATTTGAGAACGAACGGCGGCCATTTTGTCTGTCAATTTTGGGCCGATTTTCACGAAATTCGAACTCAGCCGTCCTTAGGGTGTACCGGTGATATAATATTACGTTTTTTTAAATCGGATAAAAATTATGACTTCTATAGGGTCCACAAGCTAAAAACGCAATTTTTCGGACAATCAGGGGCCATAATTCAGGAAGTTACGGTCCGATATGCACTAATATCGAAAGGAACTGAGATCTTTGGGTTATAAACTTACATGTCAAGTTTAGAAAAAATCGGATAAAAATTGTGACCTCTATAGGGTCCACAATTTAAAAACGTGATTTTTCGTACAAACAGCCTAGGGGCCATAATCCATGAAGTTTCGATCCGATACATGCCAATATCGAAAGCCGAGATCTTTTGGGGATAAACCTATATTTCAAGTTTCGTCAAAATCGGACAAGAATTGTGACCTGTAGAGAGTCCACAAACAAATTGTGGACGGACGTCCGGACGGACAGGGGCGACGACAATATACGTCCACATGAATATGTGGGTGTATAAAAAAACTATTATTATATCACCGTTAAAACCCTAAAGACGACTGTGTTGGAATTTCGTGAAAATCGGCCCAAAACTGACAGACAAAATGGCCGCCCTTCGCTCTCAAATAGCGTAAAAATATGGTATATCAAGGTTGTGGACCCTATAGAGGTCACAATTTTTATCCGATTTTGTTGAAACTTGAAATATAAGTTTATAACCAAAAGATCTCGGTTCCTTTCGATATTTGCGCATATCAAATTGTAATTTTCTGAATTATGGCCCTTGATTGTAGGAAAAATCACTTTCTTTTTAGCTTGTTCTCTATCCATCTCTCGAAAATGTGGGCGTATCCTGCCTGGCAGCAGCTGGTTAGTTACTGTCACAGACCGGAACAGCAGTAAAGCACGTTTGCGTCCGTCTAATTTTCAAAACTGGGGTGTGTTTTTCGATTTCGCCCCCTCCCCCATTATTCAATGGACCTCTACGCCTCAAACAGACACATGATTGTACACAGAGTTCTAAATTTAATGCAAGCTTTTAAAAAATCCAGGGCCCTAATGCAAAATAAAAATCAAAAAAATCAAGAATATTGGGCGTTGTATTGCTTTGTTTAACGAAAAACTGAAAATAATTAGGCAAAGGCCTGGATTCACATTGGCCGACCTGATGACGGATGACAACCCAAATGGCACCCATAACAACCCGCAAGGAAAGCCGGCATCGTTCCCATGGTCGCGGAACCTTGAAATTGTCACAGAATGTGTATTGGGGTCCTAGCTATCACATATTAAAAGCAGAACAGGATGCAATTCCGTAAAGATTGATTTTCTGGTCGACCCCCCCCCCCTTCCAACCTCACAAAAACCCGTTTTCTATTTTTAAAATAGCCCGTATTTTATAATATTACTGTTCTCCATAACGCAGCCCTTTTCTGCTTTTAATATGTGATAGATATAAGTATTGTTTACCCTCTATTAAAATCGCAAGATCCTGGGACAATTGGAACGATGCCTGTGCAGTCAAAAAAGCCGTTTTTGGCGGGGGATCACGTGGCTAAGTGGGTAAGACGCTGGCTCGCTAGCCTGGAGGGCGGGTGTTCGATCCCTGCATTGGCCGAGAAAGTTCATCCAGATTTTCCAGCGTGGTTCTCCCTTGTCAGTGATGCAGGACGGAGGGCCTGACAAGGACAGCTGTCTAGTCGTTCGGATGGGACGAAAAACCGAGGTCCCGTGTATATATTGGAATGCACGTAAAAGATCCCCTGGCAGTTGGAATTCGATATAAGAGTAGGCGATAGTGCCGCTGCCCGGGCAAAATTTCCCTCATAGCACACTGTATGGCGTATGCCCGTCTTCATTAGCCCAGTATAGGAGCAGAACAGTAGGACGTTAAATCCCATTTCATTTCATGGCTAAGTGGTTAAGACGCTGGCTCGCTAGCCTGGAGGTCGGGTGTACGATCCCTGCATTGGCCGAGAAAGTTCATCCAGATTTTCTGGCGTGGTTCTCCCTTGTCAGTGATGCAGGACGGAGGGCCTGACAAGGACAGCTGTCTAGTCGTTCGGATGGGATGAAAAACCGAGGTCCCGTGTATATATTGGAATGCACGTAAAAGATCCCCTGGCAGTTGGAATTCGATATAAGAGTAGGTGATAGTGCCGCTGCCCGGGCAAAATTTCCCTCATAGCACACTGTATGGCGTATGCCCGTCTTCATTAGCCCAGTATAGGAGCAGAACAGTAGGACGTTAAATCCCATTTCATTTCGTTTTCGGCGATTTTTGCAATTTCGATTTTTTAAAAAATGGACCCTGTTGCCGTGATTCTAAAATTTTAAAAATGTGCCAGGATGCGTATAATACTAATACCTTTCACGTGATAAGATCCGATAAACTGCGGTTGAGGAAACAATTTCCAAAAAATTAAAAACCGCATTTTTATGTAAAAAAAACAAAACAAAACAAAACAAAACAAACCAACAATTAACAACAATGTTTATTGCCAAAAAATCTTAACTCGGAATCGGAATCAAATGGCACTCGAATATGTAGGCCTACTGTAAGATGCTATTATACATATTCACTCCAAATTTCAAGGTTCTACGACTAACAGTACGGTGTCGGTGCCAAAAGACTTTCGGCGTCCCGTTAAAATGCCGCCTGCACTTTTTTTGTTGCGATTCTGACAGGCGTAAACCCGTCTTCGTTATAGCCTAGTCCAGAGAAATGGGGTTTAATGTCCACTCGACACAAACTATGTCATTTCGGGACTAACACATACGGTTCAATTTTATTTTAATAATTCGCTTTGCGCGTAGGGATTTTTAGCAGTGGGAGGACCCGGAGAAAACCCACGAGGTTGCAATGGACAGCTAGGCGACACCAACCCTTGTCACGTGACGTAGGCCTACAACCGGGGAATCGAAACCACAAATGAATTTTTTTAACAATAAAAGTGACTAGAGATCAATTATAGGCCTACGTAGGCCGGTATTTTTATTTATTTGTTAATTAATTTATTTTAGTATGCGATGATTTAACGTTGTGGGCACGTGATTAGCGTGGGCTCTTGTTTCTATATATAACTCTATTGGAAATACCCATCTATAGCCCGCTTTCACTTTTTCCTTTCCGCTTTAAATAGCCTTGATCTTTGCATGACTATGGTGGCCCACGGCTGCCATACAATTGTTTTTCTGTTAGTTCATCTAAAAAAAAAAAATTACTTTAATTTTTAAAGATCACAAGCAATTATTTTTTCTTTTTATTCCATCTGAAAAATATTTTAATTTTTCAAAAATCACAAAAATAAATAACAAAAACACATTTTTTAGATGCAATAGCAAAAAACAAATTGTATGGTAATGGCGGCCATGGGCCACCATAGTATCATCGTATTACGTCATCTTCACATATTCACGTTTTCCAGAAAAATACTGAAACACATCATGCAGCGATGCGAAAAGGCAAATATGGCTGAAAGAAGGATCTCATACACAGAGGAGAGGGAAATTTGTCAAGGTTATATTAACAGGAATCGAATGATTCTTAGGGAGAATGTTGTACCAACGGATTATCTAAGCCATCTAAGTTTGTCACGTAGTGAAATAGAACCCATTGAAAGTAAAGTCCAAATTGCTGGACCAACACAAGGTATGGATATGCTGTTATCAACTATCACAAAGCGTTGTCCAAATGTATTGTATGAGTTTATGAAAGTACTTTACAAACGAAACCCAGAAGTTTGCCGTGAAATAATATCAGAGCTAAAACCAAAGGAAAAAGACGTTATAAATGATCATTTACCCTTTATTTTCAACACAACAGAAAAAGATTCATTGCCAAACGAAAAAGAAAACTTCCCCAAATCCAGTGATGACGGTTTGTATTTATAATTATTGTTGTTTACTGTATTAGGGTCCGTTGTCATTGTCCTTTGTGCAATCTCCTCAGTGAATTTGTTACCAAATTTTGGCTGAAAGGTAGTGGTATCAGAACAATAGTCAATAGCCTGCAAGAAAAACAATTCATTGCAACAAAAAATAATCTTCCATCCAGTTAGTATGGCAAACAAATTGCCTTTCCATGATGGCATGAAATGGAAGGATAGGGTTGAGAATGGTGGTAAAGAACTTGGCCGCAAGAAAATTTGGTAGTTTGGCAGAGAGAGGTTGTTAGGGATTTGATTACATCTTTGGGGCCTAAGCCTCTAACATACAACCTCCTCCCTTTATCCCTCTGGGAAGACCATGACCTGGAATGGTAGTTAAAATTAGTTTAATTTTTTTCATTCAAATTAAGGGTGTTGAGTATTTTAAGATGCACACTACGTGTAACTTTTCAGCAATAAATAAAATAATAATGGAGATTACTTTGAAAATTATTTTTTCATTTATTAATGATTGCAAAGCTATTATATATTTTTAGTTACTTAGTGCTTATTACTTTTCAGATGTCCTAAAATTCGACAGGTGATCAGTCTGACAAATGCATAAATTTTCCATTTACAGTATGCCATAATAATCCATATTTAAATAACTAAAAAGTATAATAACTACCGACACTAATCAGTACAACATTCACTAACCTGTAACATAATATTGAATACCGGTACATTGATGACTAATAATAACAGCCCCTCAAAATGTTTGGTTCTGTGGCACATGCTAGCGTGGTTGTGAGGACCTTGACACTTGGTTGAGGGATTATGATTAAGTCCTCAAGATTAACATGAACATAGTTAGCAACAATTAAGAACTAAACGACCTCAATCGATCACTAGCAGCGTTGAACGGTTCTATGTCCCCTTTAGAGCCAACCAGTAGCAAGGGATGATTGATGGTGCATGCATGTGAAGTGTACGTACATTGAACGTGATTGGTATCTATAAGTATCGCTGGATCTGGTTGGAAAAAGGAAATGACAGTAGGAAAATAGAACACACTATTGTCATTAGGGCAATAGGAATATGATGACATTTCCATGAGTATTTAATTAAAATTAAACTCTTTTGAAATCAAACTCAAAGGCACTTTTCGATAAGGGAGGGGACATATAGCCACACACACACACCTCTATATCTTGGTTTGAAATGTCATCGAATTTGAGCATTATGAACCATTTCCGGTTCCTTTTATTTTTGTACTTATTATTACAGCATATTTTTTATTACAGCATATTTATAGTGCACTATTTCGTATAATGTGTTACCAAGTGACTAAGTAATCATAAAAAAAACAACAAGATTATGGACATGTTAACAGTTGTATACAGAGTCATGGCCGCAGATCTTATTAAATTTTAGGGGGGGACGGAGGTGGCTGGGGTTCTGGGGGTCCTCCCCCAGAAAATTTTGAAAGCAGGATGCCTGAAAACGCTATCTGAGACCATTTCTGAGCATTCTGCAGAGATGAACGTACCGAGAATAAATTGTCGTTTTTGAGTGAGAATAATCAATAACTACACAAATAAGGGATAAGGAATATAGGTAGGCTACTAAATTGCCAGTCACGGATGAAAATGTGATGAATAATTTCTCAAGTGGCCAGCTCTGAGCCTAAGCTGCTGAGGTCATGAAAAGATCATTCTCAGATCTGGGTTACATCAAAGACCGGGCATTTTTGAACCAAGGGGAAATATCCTCAGCCTGAAAATAGGACTCAAGTTTTGGGAGACGCTGACAGAGTACAGCGGGCGAAGGCGTGCGCTACAGGCGCGCATTTAGCGGGGGTCTTGGTGCCTCCCCCGGAAGATTTTTTAAAATTAGGATGCCTCAAAATGCTATCTGAGACCATTTCTGGGCATTGTACATCGGCATGTTCAGAAATATAGGCTACATTTCCCGGGCTGAAAATAAGACTTTTGAAATTTTATCGATGCATTTTTCTGGGGGGGACGAGGCATATGAAATCCCCCCCATCCCCCCAGGATCTGCGGCCTTGTACAGAGTTAGTTAAAAGCTTGCTGAACCAAATCTCTATTCTTTAGCACCTATAGAAATGGACACAAATGGGTCGCAACATATGGATTATAATGTAATATAATTCAATCATTTCTGTTTTTACTGTAATTTCTAATCAGTTATATTCGGCAATATACGGAAAGAGTCAAAATTGAATGGCATCGGTAGTATTCTCCTGTGGGGTATGTTATTTGAAAGCATTCTGGCGAGAGATTCGTAGAAGAGTTGTGATAACGGGTTTGCAATCATGTAACTTTTTGTACGGCCACATTCATAATGTTTCGCAATTCATAACAGATCATTTTGAAACTTTGCATACCTATTCCTTATACCCTAAGGATGACCCCTATTGTTTATTGGTGATTGCCCAACCCCCAGGGGCAAAGCCATACCCATTTGTTTTTTTTGCGTATCTGTGTGTTGCCTACAGGCCACGATTCTTAATGGATCGTCTTTGAACTTGGGATATGTATTCCTTATAGCCTAAGGACGACAACTGCATGTTCCGACCCCCAGCAGCAGACCCACGCCCAATTTTTGTATTTGTCATTTACAGGCCGCAATTCTGAATGGATCAGCTTGGTACTTGGGATATGTATTCCTTATTGCCAAGGGCATCAACTATTGATTTTAGTGAATGCCCCGACCCCCAGGGGCAGAGCCACGCCCAATTTTTGCCTTTAGCGTCCGAAGGCCACAATTCTGAATGGATTATCTTGGAACTTGGTATACTTATTCCTTATACCCTAAGGATGGCAACTATTAATGTTGGTGCACGATCCCCTCCTCCACAAATTTTGTATTTAACGTCTACAGACTGCAATTCTGAATGGATCATCTTGAAACTTTGTATATTTATTACTTATATCGTAAAGACAGCAACTATTTATTTTGGTGCATGCCCCGAGCCCCTGGGGCAGTGTCACACCCACTTTTTTTGTTATTATTTCGTCTGTAAATTTGTCACATAATCTATCAAATACTAACAGCAAATGTTTGACGTGATCAAATGTTCGACTATAAATCAATATGTCATCTAAATAGGGTAAACAGAATTTGTCTCGCAATCCTTCTAGATTGCCAATCATATAGGTCTGAAATGCAGAGGGTTTCCAGATAACCCGAATGGAATCTGCTTCCATTCGTAGAGGCCCCAAGGAGGTTTAATGTCTTCACCAACAACATCCTGGTGATAGGCCTTACCCTGATCAAGCAGCATGAACCATCTGTTTTCACATAAACTGTCTTAAGGCATCTTAAAGGTCCACTTTGTATTACTGATTTTTATACGCCCACATTTTCATGTGGACGTATTATGTCGTCGCCCCTGTCCATCCGGACGTCCGTCCACAATTTGTTTGTGGACACTCTACAGGTCACAATTCTTATCCGATTTTAACGAAACTTTAAATATAGGTGTATCTCCAAAAGATCTCGGCTGCTTTTGATATTGGCATGTATCGGATCGAAAATTCATGGATTATGGCCCCTGTTTGTACGAAAAATCACATTTTTGGCTTGTGGACCCTATAGAGGTTACAATTTTTATCCGATTTTGTTGAATCTTGAAATGTAAGTTTATAACCCAAAGATCTCGGTTCCTTTCGATATTCGCGCATATTGGACCGTAACTTCCTGAATTATGGCCCCTGATTGTACGAAAAATCGCGTTTTTAGCTTGTGGACCCTATAGAGGTCATAATTTTTATCCGATTTAAAAAAACGTATTATTATATCACCGTTACACCATAAGGACAACTGAGTTTGAATTTCATGAAAATCGGCCTAAAATTGACAGACAAAATGGCCGCCGTTCGTTGTCAAATAGCGTAAAAATATGGTATATCAAGGGTGTGGATCAATATAGAGGTCACAAATTTTATCCGATTTTGTTGAAACTTGAAATGTAAGTTTATAGCCCAAAGATCTCGGTTCCTTTCGATATTCGCGCATATCGGACCGTAACTTCCTGAATTATGCCCCCTGATTGTACGAAAAATCGCGTTTTTAGCTTGTGAACCCTATAGAGGTCAAAATTTTTATCCGATTTAAAAAATCGTATTATTATCACCGTTACACCATAAGGACGACTGAGTTCAAATTTCGTGAAAATCGGCCCAAAATTGACAGACAAAATGGCCGCCGTTCGTTCTCAAATAGCGTATAAATATGGTATATCAAGGTTGTGGACCCTATAGAGGTCACAATTTGTATCCGATTTTGTTGAAACTTGAAATGTAAGTTTATAACCCAAAGATCTCGGTTCCTTTCGATATTTGCGCATATGGGACCGTAACTTCCTGAATTATGGCCCCTGATTGTACGAAAAATCGTGTTTTTAGCTTGTTGACCCTATAGAGGTCATAATTTTTATCCGATTTAAAAAACCGTATAATTATATCACTGTTACACCATAAGGATGACTGATGTGGACCCTATAGAGGTCATAATTTTTATCCGATTTAAAAAAACGTATTATTGTATCACCGTTACACCCCAAGGACAACTGAGTTCGAAATTTCGTGAAAATCGGACCAAAAATGACAGACAAAATGGCTGCCCTTTGTTCTCAAATAGCGTAAAAATATGGTATATCAAGGTTGTGGACCCTATAGAGGTCACAATTTTTATCCGATTTTGTTGAAACTTGAAATGTAAGTTTATAACACAAAGATCTCAGTTCCTTTCGACATTCGCGCATATCGGACCATAACTTCCTGAATTATGCCCCCTGATTGTACGAAAAATCACGTTTTTAGCTTGTGGACCCTATAGAGGTCATAATTTTTATCTGATTTAAAAAAACGTATTATTATGTCACTGTTACACCCTAAGGACGGCTAAGTTTGAAATTCGTGAAAATCGGCCCAAAACTGACAGACAAAATGGCCGCCCCTCGTTCTCAAATAGCTTAAAAATATGGTATATCAAGGTTGTGGACCCTATAGAGGTCACAATTTTTATCCGATTTTGTTGAAACTTGAAATGTAAGTTTATAACCCAAAGATTTCGGTTCCTTTCGATATTTGCGCATATCGAATTGTAATTTCCTGAATTATGACCCTTGATTGTAGGAAAAATCACTTTCTTTTTAGCTTGTTATCTATCCATCTCTCGAAAATGTGGGCGTATTCTGCCTGGCAGCCGCTGGTTGATTAATTTTACGATAGTCAGCAGTGTTGACTTAACACACAATCTAAGTTTACCATCTTATTCTTATTTCCGCATGCACAGTAACAAACTTGAATATAGTGATATTTATTTATTTATTTATTTACCTATAAAACCCTTTCCGATTAAGTCCTACAAATAGTCTTTAGCTTTCTCGCTTAACGAATTTGATATAGATATGTGTATAACTGCATAACAGTGTCCTTCAGATGAATGTCTATAACTTTAAATCAGGCAAGTAGCCAATGTTATTGTCAGAATTTGAAAAGACATCACAATTGTTGCTAAGTAAATGTTTAACATTTTTTTTTTGTGATCCTGATATATCTCAGTTTGATAAATCTACAAGCGGACTGTTGTGTTTTATTTCAGTGGATTTATTTACAGTCGTACACATAGAGCACCAGATACATTTACTTCACTGACATCTTGAGCAATTTCCGGAGGAACAATATGGAATAATGATTTAATGGAATGCAATTCTCTGAGTTATGTTTTTTTCCGTAACACTATGTCGCGATGAGAATCGTTATGAACAACTACATCGACACGATAGGTACTACAACTAACATTTCCTGTCCCATCAAACCAGAAGAGTTATTTATGTCTGGTAAAATAAACAGTTTAATTGATTTTAACTGTTTACACCAGTACGAATTGAAGCGCAAACAGTTTTATTATTATTATTATTATTATTATTACAGCATATTTATAGTGCACCCTTTCATATAACATGTTCAGGGGCACTTTACAAAGTGACAATGTAAATCAATAAAGTAAATTGGAAGGCGTCTATTTGACCCCATCCAAACAACTATATGTTCCCCCTTGCCAGGTCGTCAGTCCTAGGACTCTGACAAGGGGGAACCATGCTACAAAATCCCAATGAACTTTCTTTGCCAGCACCGGGATCGAAACCAGGATCTCCATGTTTTCAAGCCAACATCTTGAACAAGATTTCAATGAATTATTTAATTTACAGCATTATCAGCATTTGTACAAATGAAACAAACTTGATTGTATTTATTTTCTTTACAGAGTATAAAAACCAAAAAATAGAAGATCTCAAATATAAAACTTGTCGTGTGTTATGGGAAAAACTGAATGAAGATAAAAATTGGCTAAAATTGTGTAATGTGTTCGACATTACACTTAAACAAAAAACCATGTTAGGTAGGTACTATATCACCTTTGAAGAATTTGAAATGAAAGTTCATCCAGATTGATTGCTTTTATGTTTGATGGTTAAATTTGCATATTGCAGGTCTTGTTTTTATACGCCAACATTTTCATGTAGACGTATATTGTAGTCACTCCTGTCCGTCAGGAAATCCAAAATTTGTTTGTGGACACTCTACAGGTCACAATGTTTATACGATTTTGACGAAACATGAAATATAGATTCATCTCCTAAAAGATCTCAGTTTCATTTGATATTGGCATGTATCAGACCATAACTTAATTGTGGACCCTCATTGTACTGTAACTTTTTTGCGTGTTGACAATTTTTATCCAAAATGATGAAACTTAAATAAGTTAAAATGTATGTTAACAACCCAAAGATCTTGGTTTCCTTTCCATATTTTTGCATATCGGACCTCAACCCTAATGGTGGTTGCATTGGAATGTCATGAAAGTCAGACCAAAACTGCCGGACAAAAAGCTGCTCCTCATACGCAAATGGTATAAAAGTATTTAATATTAACGTTGCGGACGTTTTATCCGATTTTGGTGAAACTTAAAATCTATGTTTATATCCCAAAGATATTGGTTCCTTTTGATAATTGTGCATGTTCTCTGTCCATCTCTTGCAAATATATGTTGCACCACAGGAAAACTTGGTTATACACGTCTTAATTATTTGAATTACAGTGTGTATCCGCGAGAAGACCATAAAAAAAATGGCAAAAGGTGCTAAGATGGGGGGTCAGAAGTTTTTGATCAAACTTATGGTATGACACCCCCTAGGTGCAAGAGGTGACATGCTGAAGTGGTTACAGCCTGATGTCGCTCTAAAGGACTGTACTGGAATTATTCATTTTATGGGTAAAATTGCGTTTTTCACATGTGCATTTATCACCCTTGATATCCTGTCCGTATACTGATCTCGTTCGCCAGAATCATCTGAAGTTAATTTTGTGGCAACAGCAGTGAGTCATCTACAAACTGTGTGAGTTTGGTCTCTCTGCTACGTATAGTAAAGGTATAAGGACTTGTCAAAGTTGGTATTTGAGAAAAGACAGATTTTGGCAATTTCACCATATGAAAAATATTTTTTCAATTTTCTCAGTCAGGAATTGAAAGATTTATCTGATATTGCACATTGATGTGTTTTGGGACTATCCCAACTTACAAACCAAATTTGGTCAAAATCTGTGATTGAAGCCTTAGGACCTTCTGCATGGTTTTCTCACGGACACCCTCTACAACTTTTAAGTTAACCTCTTAGTACTAATTCCATATATTCATTCATTCAATCTTGACATTTCATTTCTCCATCTTGTTTGGTAATTTGACAGATTACTATACGCCCTGGGGTTGCGACAGACAACTCTGAAACTTTTGAAAAAATGCTATGTTTTCATGAAAACCTTACATAGATCTCTGGTCTGTTAACCTCTTGCCACATTGCCAAATGTCACTCTCTCACTCTCACGATGTATTTCCCCAGTCTCTCATTACAACATTTTGATCTGTAAATAATAATGATGTTTCATAGTAAAATGAAATGAAATGAAATGGGGTTTAACGTCCTACTGTTCTGCTCCTAACCTGGGCTAATGAAGACGGGCATACGCCATACAGTGTGCTATGAGGGAAATTTTGCCCGGGCAGCGGCACTATCGCCTACTCTTATATCGAATTCCAACTGCCAAGGGATCTTTTACGTGCATTCCAATGTATACACGGGACCTCGGTTTTTCGTCTTGTCAGGCCCTCCGTCCTGCATCACTGACAAGGGGGAACCATGCCGGAAAATCTGGATGAACTTTCTCGGCCAATGCAGGGATCGAACACCCGACCTCCAGGCTAGCGAGCCAGCGCCTTACCCACTTAGCCACGTGGTCCCCCTTCATAGTAAAAGGTGACTTTGTTCTTAGAGGGGTCACGATCAGATGATGTTTTCTGGAGTGGGGTCACAACCAGCAAATGGTTGGAAACCACTGCTATAGATCAAATGAATAATTTTTATACGCCCACATTTTCATGTGGATGTATATTGTCGTCGCCCCTGTTTGTCCGTCCGTCCGTCCACAATTTGTTTATGGACACTCTACAAGTCACAATTTTTATCCGATTTCAACAAAACTTGAAATATAGGTTTATCTCTCTAAGATCTCGGTTCCTTTCGATATTGGCATGTATCGGACCGTAACTTCATGGATTATGGCCCCTGATTGTACGAAAAATCGCGTTTTTAGCTTGTGGACACTCTAGGCCGTGGACTGGGCACGATTATATGGCTTAGATCTTTACTCTCGCTAAAAGGCCGGGAACCGCCTTTCCGATTTTTTAAATTGATAGATAGAGCAAAAATGATGTTAACTAGCAACCTTCACACGTGGCAATCAGTATGTATAATATTTATAAAATTATCTGAATAAGAATTATATTTTTTCTCGTCATAACACGAAGCTGCTACGCGGTCAAGTAATTGTCCAATGAAAATCGTTGGATCATGGCACATGATTAGTCACGTGATCATTGTTTATAAACAATACCATGATCTGGTCAACTGAACTAATCTTGTTTTATGTGTGTTTATTGATAGTTTGGGCTTTGCGGAAACGATATTTCATCAAGGATTGGCACGGAAATTGATGCAGGGTAATCGGATACACTTATATCTTTAGACATGTTGAATTTGGGCTTCAAACTCAGTGCAAATTGCGTCATATGTATCGTCATGTTAGTCATGTATGTATGTACACTCATGGATGCTGTTTTCAATAATGGGGGAAGGTCTCGTGACAACTGGCCCAGAGCTACAAATCATTATTTATTTTCCATTTTTTTCATTGAGCTGAGAATTCACTCATATTTCGACCACCTTTTACTAGCATGAATCTGAATATTGGGGGAAAATTTCTGATGGATAATTTCTTGACATTCTTTCTATTAGATCTAATGAATGGTGGTTATATTTCTGCCAAGGTACACTAAATCTGACCAAATTTTTAACTGAGTAAAACAGATTTTTGTGGCCCCAACCTGTAAGTCCCCAAACTATGATTTCCATCAGGCCATAATTGTATGTACATTAGACCTGTATACATAGATCGAAGAATGTTCGACTAACCGCAGGTTACTTGCACATGTCTATGTTTGATATGCAAAACAATGCTACATACAGCAATTGACATCCTCTAAAGGCATTGCACAATAATAAGACAAAAATATTATTAATTTTGTATTTATTAACAAGTCCAATTTTTAACTGGGAGATAAATTTAGAAAAAAAAAACAGTCATAACAATAACAATGGATAATACGATGTGTAAAAGACCTCAAAATATTCACGACAGTAAAACCCAATTAAACTCTCATTTGTTCATAAAATATTACTAAAATTGAAAAGACATGTCATGTATGCACACACAGTATATTGCTTATAAAAGCACTCTGAGCATGCTTATGGGTGGATTTGGCACTCAAAAAATGTAATTTATTATTATTTTATGTCAATATTCATCAATATCATCATCTGATAAGTCATCAGCATCAATTTCTGTTGTTGTAAGCATAGTATTATTACAATCCCTACATCCACAAAGATCAGTGCATGAGAGATTTGCAAGTCTACATGAACATCTTTTAGAGTCGCAGTTAGTTTTGCAATTGCAATGTACATATTTTAAAATGTCCTCTGGCGCTGAATCAAGTGTCATCCACTTGATTGATTTGTCATGATTAGTTATATTCCACCCATGCTCTGATGGGAGTGGGGGTGAAATCACATTTTTCAAAGAATGCCTATGGATTGCAGCCCGATAGTTAGATCTTTTAATATGTAAAATCAAGACATATTTAGTCGGGGGGAGAGATTGTTCAGATGAAGTTTTTAAACAGAATAATTTATATCTAGCATTGTCCACACTAGTACCTTTTTGTCCATACAAATCGCAAACAAATTCTTTTAAAATGTTAATGAGGGTTTCATTGATGGTGAAACTACTGCCAAGTTTTATGAAGGCTTTTTCTTGCCTTTTCCATGGAAGCAGCTTGTTGAATCACAGCTAGTGAATGTATGCAGTCCAACTAAGGCTAATGAAACTTCACGCCCAAGTGACTCAAAACACTTTCTGTAAGTTTATTACTCGACTTTTATTTTTTGTCCCGGTGTAAAAAAATAAATTTGCCATAATGTCCTCAATAACTGAAAGTAAAATAATTGCCACATCTGTATCAGGACTTTTAATGACTATATGTGTAAACATCTGAGTAGAGGCATGATTAGCATGAAGAACAAGTCTTGTGTCTGCCTCTTCGTGATCCGAGTACAATTCAGGAACATTCTCTACATTTAGGACATTGTTATCAGCACTAAATTTGGTACATGAATTTAAATGGGAAACATACAGATTAATTATACCTAGTGTAGAAGGCTGTATAGTTTGCCAGTTTTTACACAGAAAGTCAACAAGGGCCTCCTTGTTTTTTCCATTGCTCAGAAAACTTGACCACTGCTGTGTGATTTTTTGGTCTTTGCTGTAAATTTGATGCACCTGTGTACCTTTATCAGCTCGTCTACTGCGCTCCGCATTTTTGATACTTATAGCTGGGTACTGATCTGTAACAAAATCAACTCGAGTTACATTATGATGATTAGCTTCATTAAGTATAGTAGACAGGATAAGTCCAGCAACTTCACCAAATGTGTCCGGCAACTGCTTTGGAAGAGCCTGGATAAGAGCCATACCATCAATAATTAAGGCTGAATTCCGAGGAAAACCGTCAAATAAATGACCATGGCTTTTCTGTTCAATGAGGTGAAGTAGAGCGGCTTTGTTGGTTTTTCCTAAAGAACCATTTGAACTGGCTAATGGGTATGATACTGGACCAAGTGAATACTGCATCATTTCCTTTAAATCAATTTTTCTGTTTTGACCAATTATAAGGAGTCTTGAAAAGAGTCTTCGGTCACTTTGCAGGGCAACTTCTTTTCCAGATTT